AGGGGGGGGGGGTGACAGACATCAAAGAAAATAGAGTGCACGGGAGGTACTGCTTAAAGAAACTGGAATGCAACAAAGAGCTCACCTACCGACACACAGTAATAGACGGCTCATGTCGTTCTTTGGGGAACAAAAAGAAAAAACACTATCAATAACGCCGATGCTGACATCTGCATCTTTGTGCTTATTTGTAGTTTTAGGAAGTGATGCATCTTGTATGCAAACAATAAGAGCAAAGCGTAGACTTGAATAATAATATCCTAAACCGTGCACTGTCATGGTCCCACCCCTCCCCCAACCAACAACAGAAAATTATATTGATAATTATATAGAGCACTGTCATCTCCGGACAAAATTCAAAATTCCAATTCTCTCCGCCATACAAAATATCCCGATTACAACGGCAGGATAATAAGACACACCCTCACATCTTCCATAAATTCCAAACGTACTGACCATGTCTCTCTTTTTTGAGCATATTAATAAGGAAGTCAAGAGCTTAAGGGAAGGAAATAGTATTTAACCCTATCCGTACGCCCTGAGGTCATTTTGTAGCCCAGGGATCGTATTCTTGACATTTTAGGATACTTCAAGTACGAAAATCTCTTTGAAACCTTCGGTATCTCTAAAAAAAAAAAAAAATCATTTTGACAGACTGCTATTCAAGGTGTAGGAGTCGGATTAACGAGTAAATTTCCTCTTTGGAAAGTGGTCGCACAGAGTTCCCCACGTCGTATGGATGCGACAGTAAAACACATCGAACGGATTGGGTTACATTGGGCAATCTACCACTATGTCTGCAACCCAGGCAAAGCCAGATCATGCATACTGCTTTAAGATCGTCTGATAAGACGCAAAAGGCGATAGGCCTAGTCCTCTTTGAGCAAAATTAAGATGTAGAAAGAAAAACATATGCATTTTTTGGTTTGAATGCAGTCTTAAATACAGGCTTACAATAGTCTCCCAAAAATGCGAAAGGGGTTGGATCTCTGACTGTTCGTACGTTAAAATGGCAGTACAGTTCAGTCTACACTTCCCGATAAAACCATTGCGTTTTTCTCAGACAGGAAGGCTTTAAAAAAGTTGTGTTTTTGCTTTCTGTAAGATTCCTCATGTATTTACAGGTTATGTTGTTCAGACAAGTGTGCAATCTCAGCATGCACCATTTGTTATTTGAACCCCCCCCCCAAACCAAACACACACACACACACACACACACACACACACACACACACACACACACACATACGTGTTTTGAGGTCATTATGTGGACATTGCCCCAGACCTACATTATGTGGACACCCCATATCATCCAAAGTTATGGGTGGAATCAATCAATATTTGCAGTGTAAGCCCAGTATACAAAAACATCATTGTCCACCAAATTTCAAGAAGCTACCTAAATTTTTAGTCCAGTATGTTTTTTTACTAACGTTAGTGGGACATTGCATTATGTGGACTTAACGACCTCCTGACCTTTTGCACAAAGGTACGCAAATGGTCCATTATTGAGACTTCCGGAGCATAAATGGTTTTTATGGGCTTTGGGTGCCTATAATGTTTATTAATTCACCCATGGGTTAGGGATATATAAATAGACCTACTGTCCCTGGGATCCATAGGCAACATCTTCTTTGGTGCATTTTCCTTTTCTCCATCCTTCTTTCTCCTTCCCCTTCTTCTATCGTTTCTTCCAACGCTTACCCCGTGTGCAGCAAAACTAGAGGTCGTCCATCCCACAAAATGGGCGCCTAGTTGACCGTGGGGTGCGACCTGTGGAAACCGGGTAAGTGGCAGTTGAAGTGAGATCAGTCTGCGGACTGTCCCTCGCCAACACACCTCTTTGGCCCACTTTTTCCTCTTAGACGGGAGGATGGGACGGCCTATGCCACTCAATCGATAGGGAGCTGAAGCCCCTCCAGTTTTTCCTTGGGTCAATTTTGATGGGAGGATCTAGTACACTTTCGTGGAGAGTATAACTCCGGAGTAGCCCTGGCTTAGCTCTGGTCATCCGAGCAATGTTTCCCCTGTTTCACTCAGTGGTGGGCGGGGAGCCCCGGAGTTGAAAAGCATTCCAACACACCTTGAATCACCGAAAACATTCTGACCCATCCCCAGTCCCCAACGATACAAAAAAGTTTCGGCTCGTAGAAGCTTGTGTAGCCACCGAGCCGAGCAGACAACCAGGAAAACCGACCTTTACGGCTGCTTGTGCTCTCCCTCCTCTCATGGAGCTTCCAGAGCAGCCGTACTTGGCCATCCGCAATTTTGATGCATAGAAGAAGATCACTGATCGAACCCTTTTCATGACAGGAGATGCTTTAACACAGACACTGGGATACATCCCCGCCAACGTCTAAAACTGTCTTCTGATGCTCTTCTTGCATATGAAACAGAAATAACTGGACCCCTGGATCTCACGACCTTCCATGGTATTCCTGTGAATCTTGGAGACACAAGAAGTTCAACTGCTTGAAGAGCGTCGTTCGCAGTCATGAGGTGAAAGGCTGCTCTTCAGAAAAAATTGTGGCATTATTGTGAGGGTGTGGTCAAAGCCCACCAGATGACTCTTCGGCGGGGCGAGACCGCCCTTGAAAGGAACACAATTGTTTTGACTTTCGATTCGTGCTGCCCACCAGCCACTGTTCGGGCAGCATACTTGGTCCCGGACATGCAACCCTAAGTGCAAAACCCTCTGCGCTGCTTCAAGTGCCAGAAGTTTGGCCGTAGCCAGTCGTGATGCCGACACGCAGAAGTGTGTACTCGTCGTGGCAAGACCGGTCATCCTGAAAAGGTATGAAAGGCTAGTCCTTTCTTTCTTTCACAATTACCACGGCAAACACTTGGTTCCAAGAACGCACCCTCCAAGATTTCAAAGCCCGAAATGGCTGCTCATTTCAGAAGGCTCGAAAGACTGTCTACCCGACAGTTATGACCCCGGTCCCTGGTCGGTTAAACGCAAAGGCAGTCCAGTCCGGCTGGTCTCGTGATCAGCCAGTACTTCTACTGCCAACCTCAAAGAGCTCGTGGTCAACAGGCGAAAATGCAATAAAAGCTAAGAAGGTCCCTCCTACCCCTGTAGTAACCACCTTCGAGGGGCCACTCGCCAACTGTTTCAGAGTTCTAGGGGAGGACGAGGTGGACTCTTCCTCCGTCCCCTCTTCTTCTCTCTCCCCACGCCCCAGCCCTCTGATCGTGTGTGAGGTGCCCCCTCCCCCTCATCCAGCCCCTCCTCCTTCTTTCCAACTCGCCCTACTTACCCGTACCCCTCCACCAGATACCCCCTCCCTTAGGAGGATGACACCTCCTATCCGGGAAGGAAGGAAGCCATAACTCCCTCCCGAAGTCTCCCGGTTGGGTGCTGCTCAATCAAGGGCGGCAGCCGAGCAAACCCTCTTCTTCCTCCACAAGGAGGAGTCAAGAGCTCAGAGAAGACGGAACCTCTGTGCTCCAAATCTTTTTTAAAAAAGGTATAATGGCGGTCCTGCAGTGGAATGCCAGAGGACTCCGACCTTCCATTCTAGAATTGCAACACATACAGGTTACACTGTGCCCACTTGTGGCTTGTGTCCAAGAGACAAAGTTCACCCCGGCTTCAAACATTGACTTAAAAACTTCTCATCATCATATTCACGCCGAGAACCAGATAGCTTCTGGTTGAACCACCATCTACGATACATCGACAACAACACCCTCCACAGACAAATACATGTACATCTTA